TACTACTGGAACTTGATCTCATGTAAAGGGGTTGAGCTTGCGGGATCAATTTTGTCAACTTTATATAGCTTTTTGGACGGAGATGACTGTGATTCCATTAAAGCTGCCAAGCCAGCCAAATAAATGCACATCAGCATAAATCGACATTTGTGTGGAATGACTGACCTGCTACCTGAAACCGGTCTAATGCAAAAACTACTGGTACACCACTGATGTCCTGACCGCCCATAAACCCACGACAGAGCCGAACTTACGGAAACCCAGCGTAAAGATGGCTAAGGTTTTGACAATGCAGTTTTATGGACCTGTAGCACGTGTAATTATGTCCCAATTTCAGAGATAGTCCCTGCTGCATCCAAAAACGTGCGAAAGAGATGGCTGGCCTGGACTAGCCGCTCGCCGCTGAGGCGCGCCAGCCATCTTCCGCAGACGGCCCGGGCGCACCTTGTTTTGTTGCCGGCCGAGTTTAATGTGTCTGCAGCCCGGTGCGGCCGACGGTTCACCGGCGCTGGGCACGCTGTGTGGGCGGCTGGTGGAGCTGAGAGCCACAGCCGAACTGAGAGGGACGCAAAATGGCCGCCGACCTCGGTTCTTCGGCCAGCCGTGGCAGTTGCGCCTACCTCTCACGGGCACGGACCGAGGCCCCGGGGTGTCCCTGATCCGCGTGGAGTCCCCACCTTCCGCCGCCCTTGACAGCGCTCGCTTTCCGCCAGTGGCTGTCTGCAACGCACGGACCCAGCGACCGCCCATAAAGTCGGGCTCATGGTTGTCGCAGCGCCCGGGGGCATGAGCAACATACACCTTTGTCCCGCCGACCAGGCCAGATCAATACGGGGCACAGAGGGGCAGCAGGGCGTAGCCCGTGTGACCCTTGCCGGTCTCCAGGCCGACAGGTGACTTAGCACTGCCTGCGGTCCGTGCGCAGGGGACCTGAAATCCACCCAACAACGGACCGCTGCATCAACGCGAACGGAACGGTCCAGCACCCCTGCACCGGGACAAAATGGCGACGGCGCGGCGTCGGCAGCTGGCCGGGGAGCAGGCGTCGGACCCGGGCGCTGCCGCAGCGACCGTTGAAAGGTGTCGTCCGGGCCAGACAGCGCTGCCGGGTCGGCGGCTCGCCAGTGCCGGCCTCCGCGTCTGGCCATGTGGCAGCCCCCGCCGCCGCTGCGGCCGCACAGCCATGGTAAGTGTCACCCGACCGGGGATGTCCGCTGCATGACAATGAGGACTGGGAATTGTGCACTGATGCCGAGGACATTTTATCATCGGAACGCGACATGGGGGGATTTCCAGCCTACGTCCATGTCAAATTCGAAACAGCTTTGCCCTTTTGTGGCCGTTTTCACCGAGCATTGAACACGCTAAAATTTGATTTTACATTGAAATGCGCATAGAAATACACGGGTAGCAGCGACAGCCCCAGAGAATCGCGTGGTCTCGACGTGGGGTTCGGGGTCATATATATTCCCATTAACGCTAGCGGATAGTTACAGCTGCTCAGCTATGGACCGTAACTAAGTGGAGGCTTTAATTTCCAGGTATAGCATGCGGTGTGGAGTTTTTCATCCAGTCAACGTGATTGGCATTGAAGGTTATAGTGTACCATACAGTGAACAAATGATGATTAATAAGCGCACAGAAAAGGTCGAGCAATGAAAAGCGATCCTGCTGAATTTAAGCTTCAGGGTTTACAAAGTGCCCTAACAACAACTCACGTGGGCTTTCCTGGCTGTAATTGTGATGCAAACTCGAAAAGCTCTGATGAACTTTTTGTGCGGCCTTGTTTACATATTTGCCTGATCGCATTTCGGACAAACTGTTAGATAAATTATAGCCTACCACAAAATTTAAGGGGATCCCGGCGCACAATTTTAAGTTCCGTTAGACACACAAAGCGTATAGCCAAGTTTCCCGTGGAGCGATTTTGCTCATTATCTGAAAGGAGATCACATGGGTCTTCTGGGCTGCAACCACCCGCTACTCCTCTCGTCCTACCGGTATGAAGTTATCAAGCCCAGCCAAGCGCGCACGGACCGACTCAAAAAGATACTCTGCAACAACAAGCACCCGTGGTTGGACCACCCTCTCTTTGGGACAAATTTTCGTGAGGAGTTTGCCAATAGCATGAACCCGGTAATCATGCAGAGGCCTGCATCGAGCACAGGCGGCTGCTCGGCCCCCGGGGCTTGTAGCGGGCGCATCAAGCTCACAAACATCAACCCGCTGCAGCGCACGAGCGCCCGCTACGACTTCATGACGTCCAGGCCTCCAGGTCCGAGCTGCCTGACCCCGGGCGCCAAGATCGTTACGCCGAACCACGAGAACATGCACACCGCCTACCGCTACGAGACCCGGCTGTCGGAGCAGCAGCGACCCGTGGTGGAGACCGGCGACTTCAAGACCAACTACTCGAACCCCATCCTGGGCACGTCGTTCCGCTACGAGTACGCGCGGCCGCGGCCGGCCGGCGCCGCCGTCAAGCCACTAGCTGACCCGGTACACCAGATGTACGCCTGCCACCGGCAGGGCGCCGCGGAAGCGCCGTAGGTCGCGCGGCTCGAACGCGCCGCATCTGCGGGGAAGCGCGGCACGGTTCTGCGTGGGCGTTACGTCAAGATTCTGTGGGAATGCAACGCCACGTGGACAGATCCGCTTGCATCAGCGTCATACACTGTGGCATGCTTAAGATGTGTATGCGTGGTGCTTGTTTCTGAGGATGCTTGCCTTTATTTGATCAGTGGAATGTGCTTTGATAATTAATTTGACAAGGTACTGAACTTACTACCTGGCTTTTACATGGCTTCTTGGCACTTTCTATACGACTAAATTACAATGGAAGTGAAAACGCAACACAAATGAAACGATGTACAAACGGCGTGCTTCTAAAGAAGCACAACAGATATTCATGTGAATAAGCCCCATTTTAAGTGCTCAACTTTGTTAAGTAAGAATATCAGGTACGTCAAGCTGCCTCTTTTGAACTGGAGGTAATCGATCAGAACAGGGAAACAATCAGTGCATAAAGACTTAACAATTATCTATAGTTGACAACTATTAATTATCTAACAATTATTTCAAATTTCTAGGAAAACGCTCACACCGTGATCAGTGCTTAATGGTTTATTATGGCCCAGCGGGACATGCGCAGTTCGCCTGAGCTTCTAAAAGGTTGTAGCGCTGTCCGTTTCTTTGCTGCTCCTTTTACGAGAACAACCGTTTGACATTGTCTAGTCGCCGTTATATTGAGGTTCATTCAAAAAGGTTGGTGAGTGAGTAGGAACGCCAACGATGCACTTGCAATACAAACCGTCAGAGCCATGGGATTTAAATAAAGAGAAGTCCACTGGCGTGTTTCTCTCATATCCATGGTAATGCTGCAGCTGTTTCAGTGTTTTACCTGACTGGCGACTTCTTGGCTGACATATCTACGGTGTTTCAGTGCACGTTTTTGGGCAGAATGTAGCCATTTAGTGACTGCATCTCAAACAGCAAGCGTTGCAGTTTCAAATCCGCAAGATCAGCAGGGAGAGGAGATAGGTTCGAGTGTCCGTGTCATGCTCCGCTTTTTCACTTTTAACTTCAAATGAGTCATAATTGAAAATGTGTCGTGTGCTGGTGGTTGTATTCTTTCCCAAAAGTCCTAGAACGTAACCGAGTTCTTATTTACGTGGTTTGGTTTTGTTGTTTCCTCCGCAACTGGATGACGGATTTTCCATAACCTCATAATGGCTCATTTTCCATAATCTCGTAAAGGCTTATAATCGGGCGGCGTAGTTAACAGGTTGCCAGTCTCTACATGAACCCCATAATCCAATGGTAACTACAAATACAATTTATTATTGTCCCACCAACCTTTTTGTTCCGTTGTTTTTGAAGATAATTAAGATTCGCTGCCTCCGCCCCTGGAGGCTGCCACTGCAGCTCAGGACCAAGTTCCGCCCACTTCCGGGACCGGTGCAGCCTTCAGCCGAATCATTAAGATCACCGCGCAGGCGTACCGCTCGCAGCAGGAACCCATTGTGACATCAGATCATGTATCAGCATAGCCTCTATCCAGGTCTGTCGAAAGCCGCGTGGCGGTCATGGGGAAAGCCTTTATTTGCTGTCTGGTTTTGATCGTACCCATTTCCGAATTCGCGTGCTGTTCAGTAGTGAATAGATTTTACACAGAATGCAATCCAGCTGAAAGTGCATCGAGTATTTCTTTCCTACGAAACCGCAAGACAAGAACCAACAGAGGTTTTCTAACAGCGCAATGGCTTTTCGGTCTATCATATAAAGTACATCCGCATGAACATTCATAAATCCTGCAATCCCCACCAGCAGTTTGGTAAAGGTCTGTCTGATTAGTGTGAGGGTCACGGAACGAGACAAGGGGGTCATAATTAACAGTAAAGCAAAATTTCCAGCGCCGAGCTGCATATTCAGCGCGTCATAATGCACTTACGAGTCACCGTTAACTTAAGAACCGAAGCGGTCTTAGAGGATGCGGACCCCTTCTACCATCCGCTTGATTGGTGTTATCCAATTGTCAGAATGACGAGGATGACGGAAGGGCCGCACCATCCGACTAAAAAGCTGACGAGTTTCAGAGGCGCGTCCAGAATGGAATAAGAGACGTACATTATCCAGCCTACGTCTCTGCATGATCACCTATTGCTGATCCTTTAAACTCATCCCGTTTCAGCATCCGCTGCTCCAAGCCCCGCGGATGGCGACGGCGATCCAGAGGCGTCGGGCAGCCCCGGGCGGGGCCGGGTAGCCTCTACAGAGGAGGAGGTCGCTCGGAAGGCGCCGGACCCGGACGCCGCGCCGGCCGCCGACTGCCAGCTCCGGTCGCCTCCACCGGCGGACGACGGGCCGCCAACGTCGCCGTCGCCATCGGCGGCGCCGGCGAGGCCCGCTCCGGACGGCGCGGCGCGGGCCGAGCCGGTCCAGAGGGGCGGCGGCGCCGCCGGCGGCCGCCGCGTGCCGCTCTGCTCCCGCTGCCGCAACCACGGCGTCAAGAACGAGCTGCGCGGCCACAAAGGGCTCTGCAACTTCAAGGACTGCTCCTGCTCCAGGTGGTTGCCGCTCCGCCCTCGGCCCGGTCACTTGGGGCCAGGCTCCCCGCCGGTGCTCACACCCACTGGCTGCTGCTCGGCCCTCGGCCCGGTCACTTGAGGCCAGGCTCTCCGCCGGTGCTCTACCCCACTGTTTGTTGGAGGAGTTTGGCTGGTGCGCACGGTCGTGTAGCCCTTGGCAATGAAAAAGTGATTTCCGGGATGGTGCGCTATGTGGTAGCTCAGGTCACAATGGTTATGTAATTGATTTGGTCTTAAATCAAAATGGAGTTAAGTTGTTGAAAGGGAAGCCGCAAACATCTTTGTGTTATTGCTCTGGCTTATTGTGACCAGTTCATTGCATGGTCCATTGTTGCGTTTAGATCAAAGATGGGACTATTCCCGCGAAGGCTGTTTCGGTGGTAAATTGGAAATAGCTATCTCTAAAGCCTGCCGTTTCAGGTCAGCCGTGGTTACCTTTCAGGTGCGTCCTGGTGCGAGAGCGGCAGGCGATCATGGCGCGCCAGGTGGCGCTGACCAGGATACAGCAGCAGCAGGAGCGGTCCGGAAAGGTCCTACTGACACCACCTGTTAATGTGGTACCAACGCAGCAGGAGACGACCGGTGACGAGTGCATCGCGCTGAACCTGACCAAGCCAGGTGGGTACCCGACCCCAGCCGGACTGGACAGGCATTGTCGATCATTGACGAGTGCATCGCGCCTGAACCTGACCAAGCCAGGTGGGTACCCGACCCCAGCCGGACTAGACAGGCATTGTCGACCTCTGACGAGTGCATCGCGCTGAACCTGACCAAGCCAGGTGGGTACCCGACCCCAGTCGGACTGGACAGGCATTGTCGATCGCAGCTTCTCCACTCAAGTACCCAATCTCGACCAGACAGCACCGGTGATGGGCGGGACCACTGAAGGCACTGTCAAACCCGTGCCCTGGCGCAGAAAACAGCAGTCAAGCCATGTCACCACTTGCTCGTCGTGCACCATGATCTGTCTCTTCTAACCGTGTTGCAAGCCCCGCCAGGCGCACAGCCAAGGGAGGGGCCTGGGGGGGGGGGGGGGATGGCGGACCCCTCATGATAGCGATATTTTTCGTTTTCACCACAGAGGGCTCCAGGCAGAAAGTCAAACATCGACGTGATATGTCTTCAACGTGCCCCGAGCTCGGCTGCGCCCCTGAGTCCCTTTATGAGCTTGGCTGCTCCCTGAGCCCCTTTATGGGCCCCGCTGCGCCACCGAACTCCGCTGAGCTCAGGCTGCGGAGGTAAATCCGAATGTATTACCCTATTTTCATAAACGGGTCATGTTGACCCTCCTTTTGAATTTTTACCACCGTATTCTCAACCGCTCGAACCCAAGTTCTGGAACTTAGCATTTTTCTAAGTATCAATATCACACACTCTGGCAAGACTTAAGTCTCGTTTGCGGTGAAAGGACAAAGTTGATGTAGGCATTACCAGCGGTGTGATTTTTTTAAACATAATTATTGGCGCTTAAAAAGCGTTTGTTCAAGCCGTACAAGAACTCCTTTGATATAGCAAAGGCACGCAACATAGAGAACCCCGCTCTGCAACACTTGGGCATGCGTTGATCTGGCCGACCCGGCGAGGCGAGCCGTTATCATCAGCATTTGGGCCATGCTAATGGCCACTTGTGCCGACCCAGCATAAGCGAGCCCACTATTGACACTGGGCTGACTAAGCGAAGCGAGCCAAGTCGACCCGATCATGTTAAGAACGCCTTTTGCACTGTACTTCTGGGATATTGTCCATAGCGTGACGTAAGAGCCCTTGCTTGAGCCATTTGTTATTCATATTAACACGAGCCAAAGTTCTCCGTTAAATGCGCCGTGCTCGGGTCAGGGTCAGGGGGTTTGGACAAATGGACCGCTGAGATCTCAAGAGCTGAGAAAGGTAGAGACACCAAAGGCAGGTAGGACTTTTTGTGAAATCGCATGTGTCAAACCATTAAGTACCAAGCCGTAACCTGCGAGTTCAATAAGGTCAAACAAGGTCAACCTCCAGATCGGTGTCCGAAGTGCCCTCATACCTTCTCATGCAGACGGCTTTACTCGAGGTGCCCCTCATCACCAAAATGTCATTGGTATTTTTTTGAGGATAGCAACCCTCAAGTCAATAACAATTTGGCCGATTGAAGGTAAAATTGACCCGAAATTTTTGGAATTCTTTTTTATTTAAAGTTTTCATCAGCGACTAGTTGGTAGAGCGGTATGAAGGCATACTCATTAAAGCAAAGGTTGATCGAGGTTATTTTAGGTCAGTGACCTCCTCCGATCTTCATTAAGTCACAATCAGAAATTTCTGACATCACTGTGATCATGGAATTCGAAATGGACGTTAAAAAATAGCTCACAACGCGAGTTTGTAGCAATGAAGCGGTTTGGTTTTCATCGTGATCCAATCCCATACTTTAATCAAAGGTAAGGAAATCAGTCGCAATCCTCATTTTAATGGCCTAGCTATCTAAGAAAACATTTTAAAGCTGTGTAATTTCGTTAAACATCACGTTGGGAACGACGCCCTGATCACTTACTGTGGGGGAGTTTTCCCAGGTTGCCGTTCACCATTTCGAGCATAGGCTACTGGCTGAAGCCCTGCACAAATTTTCAAAACGATCCATTTTCTCCGTTTTTGGGTACCCGAAAAACGCAGGTGGTGAATGACTAAAAATGCCCAAAGCGTAACTCATTCTGTTAGTGAATACCATATTTGACCACACATCTGCCCGAGAGCCACGCGTACGCAAGGACCCATTCATTCTTTCCATTCAATCGCTAATCCGTTCATTCATATTTGTTCGCGACGCAAGCGGTTTGATAGAGCGAACCGCCAGACGAATTTTGTCAATTAGCTCTGGATCAGTCGGTGCTGTGCAATCTCGTTGTTTGATGTACGTCGCATGTCCGCTGTGGGTCCCACTGCAGGCAGTTGGAGCAGGCAGCACTCATCCTTCCGCATGTATGTCATTTGTGGCTCATCGACCAAGAACAATGTGGGAGCCACATGATGCGATGTTATCAGGTCTGGCCACGAACAATGTCTATATGCAAGCAGTTTCCCATCAGCATATGCACCGGCACCTTTTTCACTTGCATCTTGCTCCTACCCAAACACAGTTTTACGTACGCGCCTCCTTTGCTCTCGCGTTGATTTTTTAACACGTAGGCTTCCGGTTTTGACGACAGACATGCCTCGTGGGTAAATCACAAAAATTAGCTCAGAAAATCCAGCTCCACCATCTTAGACCTTTAATATTAAAAGAAAGGTTGAAAAAAGAATACTTCTCCGCCGCCTCTCTCGCCGCCAACTAAAGGAGTACGGCAATGTACAAAAGGCACGGTGGGGCATATGTTACCGTCATTTGGTCCAAAATGTTTGGGAATATCAATTACTTTTATGATGGAGTGGTAACTGTAATGCACCACGTCACGTTTGATTAACACGCGTACGGGTGGCCGGCTAGATACCCTTCGCTCGGGTGGGGGGCAAATTTGGCCCCGCTGAGATCTTGGGAAATAAGAAAGCTAGAGCGGTAATTTGCGGGTTTGTTGACCTGTACGTGAACTCACTTACATCAAAGTTTCAGGTTCATAGGTCACGACCTTTGGATCAAAAAGGTCAAACAGGGTCAAGTTGCAGGCTTGGTCTCCAAAGTGCCCCCAGAACCTAGATAACCGTTTCTACGCAAAAGGTCACATTAACATTCGAGGTCAGTGACCTTTGAGATGTTGAAGGTGAAGGTGACCAAAATCATACAAGATTGCTTTGAGTTTCGCATTTGACTAAGTTACAAAGATTGCGCTAGGCAGTATTTTCGTAAAACAAAATGTTGACCTGGCTTATTTTAGGTCAATGACGTATTCTGACCTCTAAGAAGTAAATGGAAGTGCGTTTCCTGCTGTCAATAAACGCGAAGTGAGCACCAGAAACTATTTCATACAGCAAGCTCTAGAGTAACAAAACAGGTTGGTTTTGATCTTGATGTGACCTTCATACCTGGCCTTAGGTCAATGCTATTTGCTCATTCAACTGTTGTGTTGCCTCAGAAAGCATCTCAGAGGTATATGACTTCGTCTAACACTTCGTTGTTGGATCAGCTTGAAGGATTCCCTAGAAATTGCCTTCTCCGAAACCATGGCCTAAACTTGACCTGTCATAGGTCAGCGACCTTACAAAGTAAATCTAAATTTTAATGTTAAACGATCCGCTATTCAATTGTTTACAGTATGCAAATTTGGTGCGGCCACGCCACGCCGTTCGGAAACCATTCTGGAAAAACCGTCGGGGGGTCAATTTGACCCCCACGACCGAGCGCGAGTTTAAGCACAAGGTAAGATCCGGAGTAAGGTGATGGCTTGGAATGTTCCTACCATGAGACAGCCCTTAGTCGGTATTCAGGAACATGAACGACTTGTAAATATCAAAAAGATGAAAATAAGCCAAGAATATAACCTTCAGCAAATGAAAGAAAATGCTAGTGAATGTCACTTGCTCATCGCAGATACTTCCGAAGAGGCTTCATCTTCCTCACCAATATGGCAACATCTTATGAAGTGGCTTCCGCTCACTCCGTGCTCTATGGTCTATGCGCCATAAATACGAGAAGTATAACAACACTCCGTCGACGCCCCACAAAAGGCATAAGAGACAAAAAGGAAAACAGAGCAACTCTCGACCCTTCGAAATTTGTCCAAAAAAGAATAGCGCATTTGTTAGTTAACCCACTGTTTTGCAGGCCTGAATTGTAAAAACAGTACAGCATGCCTGCAATAAAAGAACTAGTTTGCCGTCTCACAAAAATTCGTTACTGATGAATTGAATTACCGTTGACAAACTGTTTCTAGTACACCATACTCTCTTCGTTGCATACATGTGCATCATGCAGAAATGTGTCCCCAAGGGCATACTTGCACACAAAACAGCACACAGCTGAAGTTTCTTGATGTACAAATTGTGAAATATTGACTTGCAATGTAATCGGTCATTAAGTGGTGCTAATTCACACTTAATTGTTTCGTTAGTTGAAGTGGATGTGAGGCCGGCCCAGCTAGCCCTCGCTGGTAACCACGAACTGCACTGCGAGAATTTAATCAAATGCAGGTGTAAAAATATGGGGGCGCTCCTAGAGGAAATTTTCCAGCAAGATTAACGCGTGTTTAGCTGCACGTTTTTGTTTGGTGTGACTAATGGGTTCTTGAATTCGCGAAAGAGCGTGGTACATTTCACTATCCAGCCGGTGGAGAAGTATTTTCATCTGTGTCATTGATATATCCTAGCTGTTATCACAATTGGTATGCCATTTAGTTTTTTTACGTATTTAGGCTCCTCAGCCCTGGGCAAAAAGCTCTAGCAGTCTGCCTGTGGCCAGTCACGAGACAGAGTGAGACCTCATAGAAGAGTTCCGTTGTCATGAACGATTTCTGATTATGATCAGAACCACCCACACATTTTAATCAATGCTATAACTCACGCTTTCTAAAGTCATTCCAAACAACCGGGTTTGCTTAGCTGCTCTCAGATGATGCTGGTCGCCCTACATTGACGTGTTTAACGGCATCAGCAACAGAGAGCTGAACTTCACAAATGTGTGTGAGTTTAAGTCCATTACGTCTCAAGTCTGGGTGATTGCTCATGTTTGAACCGATCGAGCGGACGTTGTGCAAGCCCCACACATAACTGAGTGTTTGAGTAGGATAGGCCTCATTCCCAAACCCTGCAAATGGCAGTCTTTAATGGCTACCCGGTGTTACGAGCTCTTCAGAGGGCTCAGAATGCCGTCGGTAAAACCAGCGCCCGCTCCCGTCTGCAGGTAAATGGCAAGTTGTTCGATTTCCTGCAGTTTATGTTTAACAACGGGCCGCCTCGGTGCAAAACTCAGTCCTATAGCAGGAGCTCAAATAGCCCCGATAGATTGCCGTCGAATCCAAATTATTGCTGAAGTTTGGATTACCGCATCGACCAGTCACTTAGGACACAATGGAGCACGCAACACCGGGTGTGCATTAGAACGCCAAGTCGGGAAACACCGCCGAGGGCTAAGCAGAGCACACATGAGGGTCGGATCTCAGGGGGAATGTGGCCGTAATTCCTCTTGGGACCTTCTTTGGCACCGTGCCAGCGGGGATTGTTAGGCGTCACAGAATGTGTCAGCGCCACAGAAACTTGCCAGGCCCACATGAGCTTGAATGCCCTCAAGAAAAGTCCAACTGGGGCCAAAGCGCATGAAAACGAACAAACGGACCTTTTGGGAGGGAACCCTTTCGGACCATGCAGCGGCCTTCATTCATTGGAGGGCACTTAAACGGAAAGTGACCATCCGCTGCCGGCATCCTGGATCTGTCCCAACACACCCGCAGCATGCAAAGGTGTGCACATTGCAATGCATTACTCATACACCACGAGTCACACAGCAGGGTTTCAGGAGACCACCACCGAAGGGCGCAGAAGGGAACATCAGTGCACAACATCGCTCCGGAGCTTCATTGAAATTCAAAATGATTGTGAGGATACGCACCTCACCTTCGCCTGTTTAGGCGTGAAAATAAAGATGAATAGGAGCCGGCCGCCATTTTGCAAACATGCTATATTTACGAGGAAATTTTAGAGCTGTCGTTACCCCAAATAAAAAAACGCATCCTCGCAGATGTGTGAGAAGGATTTTTCAGGGAATTGTTTCACATTGAAAGACATTGAAGAGCTATGCAGGCTTAATCAGACTCATCGGACTCAAGAGCCGTACAGGCTCACTTCAGGCTCACTTCAGGCTCAATTCCAGTCAGTCGTATTGGAAAAAGCTAAATGGTAAATGCTGGTATACTTTTAGGTGCAACAGACTGTCTAAATCACACAATTTTGCAATTTAGTAATCATGCGCCTCAATCTGTCACGTTGCATCACGTCATGGAAGTTTTAATGACGGTGACGTCAGAGTCATTACCAGACTGGTTGCGTCAAGCTGCCACTGTAGCGGTGTATGACTCACCTGTGTATGACCACAGGTGTATGACTCACCTGTGGTATTTTTACGCGCCTAAGATGCCGTTGGCGGTCTGAGCGTGTACAGTTATGTTACGAGCTCTATGTGCGTCTGTTAGTCATCTTTTCTCGTGGTAGTCTAGGAGTAGTTTTTCGTCATGGCATGTTTTTTACTGGCACTTGCATCTTTGATTATGACACTATGTACGTGGAGCATTCGATTATCGTCCTCAAATCCGCCTTACCTGGAAGCTGCTAAGTGCCTGTCCCATTTATCACAAATCGTGGCTCGTGATCGAGACGCAGTCCACCCTGCATTCTCCTCCGCGCTTTACCCTGCATCCTCGCGACGCCCCGCTGTCCGGGGTCGTCTGCATGTGCCAGCCGCGAATCGGTAGAAAGACCCCTGGTGGGGCCCCGTCCGAGCATTAAGCGCATGTTCCCGTCCCCCCCCCGCGAGGGGGTCGCTGTGCAGGCTAAGTCTCACAGATTGGACCGTCAGGTGTATGTAGTGATGCTTCGCCGCAATCCGGTCTCTTCTTCCTACAGCCCTGAACTGGTATTACCCGCCGAAAGGCGGGTAATACCAGTAATACCAGATACGAGTAATCATGATCGAGGCATACAATCTGCCGTTCAACCCGACTGTTGTCAGCTGCTTTCTTTAGCTCGGACACTTGGTGCCGAATCCCTGCAAACACTGCAAACACACAAACAATATCAGTGGCCATATTTTGCATGACCTTAAGCACAATACAGGCGACGAGGAGAAGGCATGTGCATGGCATTTATGTGATGCCTATCTGGGTGGCTTCCAAATAGCCGACGCAAAATAGCGTGCACAGGCTCGCGTGCGTCAAGCTCAGAAACAAGACGGCTGGAAGTCTAACAAAAAGGTGTTCGTTGCGAACTTCAAGGAATGTCTGAAAGTGGCTATCTCAGTACAAAGCTTGGTACAGCTGTAACACGTTCCCTTTAAGAGATATAGCGTAAAAGTATTGTATAAACGTCTGTTTCTCCTGCCTTCAAACCGAGCAGTGTGGGCTCAGAACAAACTGAGACTGACCAGATGGTAGTGTTTACGGATACAGTTTTGAATTATCATAATCAATCATAGATAGCCGTATTGCCAGTGAGGCACTTACTCAATATAATATGCTTGCCTCCATGACAGGGTATGCTGCTGTATGTGATCAGGCATCACGGTTTGTCAAATTATTTGGGCAAACACGATTTGTACCAGGCAGTGGACACTGGGTTTTGATAAAATATGCAACTTGTGTTGCACAAAAGAACAGCGTCTTCCTAAATCAAATATGAATCGGAGTAAGCAGCCAGAAAACCCTACCTGACTCTACCCTTCAGCTATCGTTGACATGTTAAAGATATGTTAAAAAGATATTTGGCACGTTAAAGGCCTGTCCTTCCCGCGAGACAAGTGAAGCACACAGTCATCAGAATGCATACAGCTTGGAGAAATACGATAAAAACGAAGTCTGGTGTGTACGGTAGATTTGTAATAGAATTAAAAGACTTGCAATACATGTGAACAGACAGAAAATTACCCACGTATGTCCTAGTTTCTTGGATATGCCTAGGTACACCCGTTGTTAAATTGCGCACTTGCTGTGTGCTTTACAACAGTAGGCGATGTGTGATTAGAAGTATATGTCACTTCATTGCACGGGCTTGGCGCTGCAAGCACGCGCATAGCATATCACTAAGGTCCTAAGCTTGTCTCCGTGTATGCTTCATGAATAAGTCATGGGTATTGACTGCTGTGCGCATCAACGCTCGGGGGCGTGCGTATTATTTTTTTCCAAAATTTTCCATTTTTTATTATTTTCCAAAACAGTGAGTGGTTCAAGTCCTTGTTGTCATTTTTTCAATGCATATTTTTTTCTATGCGCATCCTTATGGCTCATCTTGAACTTTCACGAGTGGTGGATCGGCCATTTCGTCCCCACAATTCTAACAAAAAAAAATGTTCGGCGTGTACTTGATTCTGCGTTGGCCTGGTACCATCACCAAGCCTTCGCCGGTCGATCCGTAGAAAACGCGAACGGTCAGGACGGTCACTAAAGCATGGGCGATGGAGGTTGTTCTAGGCTGAGAAAAAGACGATCATTATTTTCGGCGTTTTTCCAGTCAACGACTACAGGATCGATGGAAAATTTTCAGAAACTTGGGAGGATCAGGCCCAGCCCCTGTCCCCTTAACTCCAGCACTCGTGATCAGAGATGCAAGTTTCACGTATTCCTGAGGATATGCCTCTGATCTGTAATTTTCCAGAAATGTAGCATCTCCCAATAGTTTGTGGTGACCATCCTCATGTTGACCCTACTGGTCTGTGGAAGTTTGGTTCATAACCAGACTTATTCAGAAGAATTGTATCACCGAGCCAAAGCCTGGTTCGCTATGCCTTCTCAGTTCACGGTAGTCCGTATCACCCATCGGTTCGCTTGTTTGGTCCAGAGATGGCGCTGTCTGGCAGCAGCAGCCCGGCGCCGACGGCCAGCCGGGACCAGGTGGAACGCTCACTGCTCTGGGCGGCCGACATCTGCCGCGTTTACCCGCAGGTGTTCTCCCTCATCTACATCATCTTCAGGGAGAGCAACAGCCCGGCGGAGGCTCTCGCCTGGTTCAGAAACCGTGAGTACACACGCCGGACGCGACCGCGGCCGCGCGGCGTTCGCACCCGGTGGCGGCTTTGCAAAGCTCTGCCCTGAATAGAGCAGTGGTTTAATGCTGCTAATTTCGCAACTTACGAAAGGGCAGAGTGGTGCGCCCTTGATCGATTGTGCGCCAATCGCCGCACAGTTGATCCGAAATGAAATAGTCGATTACCTCGTGTTGCGTGACTAATGAATAATGCATTCCAGGAGAGGTCATAATGGTACGTGTCCGACATCAAACACAAGGTTTCTCATTTCAGTGATCCAAAGGAGCATGGACAAGAGATCAAGTATTTGGCAGCCATGGAACCTGGCTTAGGTCTGCGTTACACACTGCCGAACCGCTGAGGCGACATTTCTGGTTCGTGCTGTGATGATATTCACTCGCTGCGGCCTTTAGGATGGCAGCGGAGCAGGTTGTGAGGAATTCGAGTCGTTTTCCTGGAATGTGATCACAAAAGAGCTATATGAGTCGGCTTTAGGCTGTATGAGGAGTATTATAATGCATTGGGTGGCACAAGCAATGCTGATAACGGCCTAGTTAAACTGCTCTTCCTTTGGACTATGTTGATAACACCCTTGCTGACCGCCCGCTCTTTTCTGAGAGACTTCATCTGAATGCTCGCATCATATCGTGCGCAAAATTCGGGCTTGGAATAAATAAAGCTGGTCGTTTCGCACACAAAAAACCGTGCATATTTTACAAGAAGACTATTTGATAAAGGCTGGTGATTTGTAAGCATGTTTGATTGAAATACTGCCGCAGCTGGTTCGTACTGGCATTTAAGCAGAAGACCTGGACTGACCGGAAGGAACGTTTTCACGGTAAACAGCATAGGCTTTCCATGAATTAAACAATACCGAGTCAAAGGCGCTTTCTCCTGACGGTCGCATTCGTCTTCCCATATTAATTCCTAGAATGCACACAATGTTTCACTTCAGCATTCTTGACCAAGCGCCATCTAGTTAACCTAACATACACATAACGCATCAGGATGTTTATTGAACAAGCGATAGCACTTCTCAATACATCTAAGGGAAACTTAATTCAATACGTATGTAAATAGTCATGAGAACAAACATGTGATGCAACTCGCGGGGCAGGTAAGTTCCAGCCACGCCGTCGCGCTCGTCCGTCACTCCAGTCCAGAGATTGCCAAGCGCAGGCACGTGCTACTGACTGGCGAGCGTGCGGCCCCAGGTCCAGAGATTGCCAAGCGCAGGCACGTGATACTGACTGGCGTGCGTGCGGTCCCAAGTCCAGAGATTGCCAAGCGCAGGCACGTGATACTGACTGGCGCGCGTGCAGCCCCAGAGACGCGGTCACCGGAGCCATCCCACGCCGAGCTCCATTCCGACCGCTGCGTCGATTGCATCGCCTTTATTGCGCACACATTGTCATCTTGGTGAACTGTGCCATTCTCTTGACGGCCTGCGAAGCAGCTCTGGGTTCTGATGCATTTGTGGGTTTTCTTGACACGCCGTAGGAAAATTTGGCTGGAGACATCTTGCCAGTGCCCTCCACCGAATAATTGGCGCGTTGTCCACCTACCTTACAAAACATCAGCCAAATATCGCAGCATCGCAGACAAGTTCGACACGTGCCCCGCGTTGGCCGAGTGTGGGACAGGGAGCGGGTGGTCGGCGCGACGGGGCTGGGACGGGAGGGATAGCCCGCGGGTCTACCCACCCTACCATCTCCGACCTGCCCTGACCTGTGCTCGCGCTGCTGGCTCACCTCCGCCCCTCCCCCATTCTGCAAGCCGCCGCTAGATGCACTAGCGTGAACCTCTGTAAGTCACTGAAGCCAGACCGGCCGAATGGATCAGGAGTTTCGAGCCGGTGGCGAAACAGAGGCACGCGGGATCAGTGGGCTACGCAGTGCTCAGGAGCCGCTCCCCAGCTTCTCCGATCCCGACTCGCCCGCGGTCCGAGTCCCACCAGCTGGATCATCCCATCATTCTGACACACAAAGCTTGCAAGCAGCGGTCTTCCCACCGTCAGTCAGAAGCCAGTCGTTCACGTTTTGTCGTCAACTAGCCTTCAGAGTGCATGAAACCAGCTCATCAAGATCCTCCGGCAGCATGTCTAATGCTTGGGATAAAGGAGAAGCTGTTCTGCAAACCGAAGAGCAAATATACACATGTGAGTTCTGTGGCGCACGAGATGGCAACAGTACAGCTAACGTCGTTCGGCCCAGCTCATCGACAGCCAAGGGCGTTTCACAGCCCCATTGCAGTGAAGATTGAGCAAGCTGCGCTGACTAGTGTGCGCAAAGACGCCATGTTGATCCTGGCACTGCCAGACAGCCAGAGGAGCAATGCCTCTAAGGAGTTGCGAGCCGCCATATCGGCCGCCCAATGGGGAGACGGTAGCACGCATGACGTCATCACGCCCGCCTTACGGCGACCTGCGCGTAACGGCGTGACGCAAGCCTTGCAAGCAGGAGCGGCCCCTGGGACGGCACGCCTAAAAAGGGGGCGGCAGCCGGTAACCACCGACGGCGCCTCCAGTCGGAGCTCTGAGGTCCAGATGACGTCATCAGAGCGCCGTCCTTAGCAAAACGGCCAACGGGTGGCGCGATCGCGCGCTGGCCAGGACGCTGGTGAGCTAATGTGTCAAAATACTGCATCAAATACGCCGGTCGAACGAGGCAATGCTTGGATGATAAAAGTAGTTAAAACAACGCACTTACACAATTTAAATCGCCGAGATAATTGGCGAGAGCGTGTCACAAAGCTCTCCATCGTTTCACAGCTGTCGTCCAACACGCCAACAGCCTGTACGCGCTCGCAAGCCGCGCAGCGTCAAGTCCGAGGCCATTGAGCACCGCGCACACCAGTCTGAATGCACATTCTGCTTCATGCCCGCGCCTCTTCCCGGCCGACACCGACACTGAACTTCGTCGCCAACGGTCCCTCGCACGGTCGGTCGTCGTCTCGCCGGAGGCATCTCCCGCTGCGGCTCCGCCGGCGCGACCGGGCCAGGCTGGCGCGGCTGACCCCGGCCGGCCGGCGCTCACTGCATGCTGCAGAAGCGGCGCGACTGCTCGGCGGGCTCGGGCGTGGTGGGCGCGGCAGGGCCGGCGGCGCGGCCGGCCTGCTCGGCCTGCTGTCATCTCTGCTCGAGCGTCGAGACGATCGGCGGCCGGCGAGGCTTGTTCTCCAGCACGGCTTCGACCTCGGCCAGCAGGCCGGCCGTGAGGCGCGGCAGCAGCTGCGGACGCCAGCAGCCGCCGGCCGTCAGCCGCCGCCCGCCACGCGGCGCGCAGCAGGAGCACTTACAGGTGGGCGCCGAACACGGTGATTGGAAGTGGGATGTGGACGCGGTGGTACGCTGAGGTGGGACACGGACCAGGGAGGTTAGAGGTGTGCTGGTACGGGGAGACTAGAGTTGGGCGCGGACCGGGTGGGGCTGGAGCTGGGGACGGGCCATGCGATGGGGTACAAGGGAGCGGTTTATGGAGATCGCACGCCGGTCGGACGTGACATCCTCAGGGTGTCACTATAGGTGGGAACGGACCAGGAACACTGCTAAACGAAGCTGTTAGAACAAGGAGGGGGACGGCTAGAGCGTCAGTCAGAATACAGCCGTTAGGGGGGGGGGTCACAAATCGGCCGCGCTGTCCGGATGGCGCCCCAACGGCGGCAGTTTCGGCGTGCAGCGCCAGTGGATGGAACTGGGGATCTTGTAGGCTGGTACAGCAGGGATCGAGAAATGGAGTGTAAGTTGTCACATACACTCCATTGGAGTTTGCCTGGTCAGTGCAAACAGCAGCAGACAGAGATGACCGAGTCGATGTGTGCAACAATGGCACAGCCTGGAGCGGAGTGGGGCAATGGATGGAGATGACTGGTGTAGTAACACTGGATTTCGATGGCATCTGTTAGACAGGATGACAGTTTTCCTTTAAAAACGAGCAGAAGTCTGCAACAGGCTTAAAATGCAAACGAAGCTAGACAATTTGGTTTAGACTGTTATGAAAGAAGCTACATCAAAAATAGAAACACAAAACCTCCCAATGCCAACAGATTCAGAAAACATTTAAATGCATGGACGAACATGCAATCCTCGATATCACATTCCAGACATTTACGAAATGCTCATCTGATGGCAAGTTTCTGGAAGAGAGAGAGAGGGCAATTGTGACATCTATGACAACAACATTTGCATGAATTCAGCTATGAAAAGCTTCGTATCTAAACACATGCAGGCCGGCTCGCATCAGAACATCACCACGAGGAGAATCCTGTGAGTTTGCGAACAAAAGGCAGTGGTTCGGCGATCAGACAGCATGACACTACTCCATGGCTGTCGACACGTTCGCTCTAGGTTCTCAAAGCAAAATACAGGCACAAGCATGGCCATACAGACACTGCACGACGTATGTGCCTGAGCGGGGAAGGCATCCTGTGAGTAGCTATTTGACATGGAATCGCCAGGTGTTACAATAAACCTTATATTCATACGTATATGGTTGCAATGCTCTACTACAAAAACATCTAGACTAGTCAACAAACTTGTGAGTAAAATTTTTTCGGTGAGCAACCAGGAATCCAGGGGGTCGTCTGAGGAGAGGAAAATGCGTCGGTTGGGAAGAAGGGGTAATTTTTACAGCTGCTTTGGTTAAGCTTGGTTGGAGGGGTTTGGAGCCGGTTGAAATCGAGGAGCGTTGGTCGGAGAGGCTGTCCGCCACAATGGAGAACGGCTGGGTAAAGGAAACTGGGTATTGACTGAGTGAGGAAGTCGCCGACGTTGAGGGGAGGACGCTGGTTTCCGAAAAACGATCGGCGGGAGTGAGAAGCATTGGATGCACGCGAGCGGCTCTGCCTCGAGGAGGCTCATAAGCCTATGAATGTTCATCGGGGAGCATCCGAGCCCTTGGGAATGGGTGAGACGGGAAGGAAGCGGACGGGACGGTTGCCGAGAATGTTCTCCAGCTCACTGCTGACCGCCGGCGTCAGGCGTGACGTCATCTAAAAACAGCCAGAACAAAACGCAGGCAATCAAACATGTCCGAGAACTGACCAGAACGGGGCAAGACCAACGGCAAATGGCATGATAACTCAACATAAGGGTGCAAATGATATAGTTTCATTCCACGATAGAATCTTTTCAGATCCTTTTTAGCGTTGTGGTCCTAAGCTATGACTTGGAATGGTTTGTGTGTCTAATAGGTACGACAGTGATGAGAAACATAACATCTAATTATTTCAGAAGTACCGTCTCAACACGGCAGCATGATCAACAAAAGGAATCTACTACATTATGGCACTCCAATTCAAAAGCTGAAACTGATTCAACAGCAAGCAAGTGAACCAATCGACCTATGTGAGGTAACCAAACCAGGACTATGGAATGCAAAGCCTTCGGTAAGAACTGGAAGCATGCGGTGCCTCGATATCAATAAATCTCACGAAATGGCTCACAAAAATGGTCTGCGGGTGTCACCTGCATGAATCAGCAGCCTCAGTGCACGGCACCTCGCCGATCTCTCTCGCGGCGATGTTCCTCCCCCCAGACACGGAACCATGCGTTACAGGCCCCCAGCCGTGCCAGCTGAGGGCCAGGCCCTCCTGCGGGAGCAGCAGCAGTCAGTGAACCCACCGCCAGTGCCTGAATGTGGTCCAGGATTTGTTGACAGTTGACGGCCCCCACCAGCACGCAGCCAACCGTATCGTTCTTCAGGCTCCACGCTACCGACAGCTGGGTGACCGAGCAGCCCAGCTTCTCGGCCAGAAGCGAGATCTCGCGCAATCGTGCCTGCGTCCGCTTGCCATCCTCGGCGTTCAGCCGGTCGGCGTTCCACGGCGACATCTGTGGGCGATTGGTGGCACTGAAGCTTCGCTCGACTTTCGGGCAGTGCAATGAGTGTGCAAGGCTCAGGTATCCACATGTGCTTTGTTCGGTCACATAACCAGTAGCGTGTCACGGATAAGAAAAGGAGCAGGCCTGAGAAAGTGGAAAATGGCACATCGAGGCTAGTGAGATGTGGCGTAGGGCTAAGGTGCCGTGGTGCAGAAACCGGAGCAATATTCCGAGCAAAGAGCACGTGCAAAACCTGGGTTTGCGGTCCTGACGTCTCTCGAAGCACTCACAAACGGTGTAGAAAATCACAGAGACAACGCTTAAGCAGTACAGGCCTGTGGTGCATCTGGAGTCACAGGGCAACCATAAGAGCGGCAAAAGCAGCCAAAGCACGCTAAAGTCCTTACGGGGCCGCCGTGACACAAGGAACTCCACGAAAGCCGGGTGCCCCGAGTGAAAGAGGATGAAACCAAAACTAAAAATTATCTGAGGCTTCGGGATGGTGAAAATACGGACATGTGTCTCTCCACATGAACACACAGGTATGATACATCAGGGCAGTTAAACCAAAATCATCGAACAAAACAAGGATGCAGCATCGCAAGTGAAGGCCTTGGAGAAACAGAGCCCCAGTCCATTGCATGGTCTGTGGCGGTCATAAACAGAAAAGAGAGAGAGAGAGGGAGAGAGAGGGAGAGATTACAAAGAGAGAGACACAGAGAAGATAGAATAGAGAGAGAGGAAAGGGACGGAGAGACGAGAGGAGGAGAGAGAGGAGAAGAGAGAGAGAGAGAGTAAGAGAAAGAGAGAGCGAGAGAGAGAGAAAGAGAGAAGAGATGAGAGAGAGAGAGATTGAGATAGAGTAGGAGAGAGAGCGAGAGCGAGATAGAGGAGAGATACGAGAGAGGAGAGAGAGAGGAGGAGATAAGAGAGAGATAAGAGAGAAGAGAGAGAGAGAGAGAGAGAGAGAGAGAGAGAGAGAGAGAGAGAGCGGGAAATTAGGTCATAAAAACTTTGATCACCTAGCGATCAGTTACAGATTGCAGTCACGTGGTGCCTTGAAGGCAAGCCATCAGAGGTGTTGGATGACGCGTACCTATGTACACGTCTGTCAGAGGCCGTGACAAGTACCTATGTACCTATGACAAGCACCTGTGTCAGAGGTCATGACGCGTACCTATGTACACATCTGTCGGAGGCCATGGCCAACTCCGCAACAAAACTGGTCATCATTTTGAAAAGTGAACTTCGTGCAGGATGCCTGAGACTGCCAACTTGCAACTGGCTTTTTAACTATTGCTAAATATCCCTATCATCATGTGGCGTTACTGAGCTAACCATAAACGCACCATTTAAAGTGAATAAGATTATGCCTCGACGATAGCATACTGAGCTGGACTTCAAATTATCTTTACAACGTTAAAACATTCTGCTAGTTAACGCCGCGTTAGTGCGTAACGGCTTTTCGGAAGGACTGAAACGAGGTATTAATATCATGGATGGGATAATTGTTTGGAATATCGCCCTCATCTGTCGTGTTACTAAGTGCACCCATTTTGGTATGCACCCACTACCAGACGCAAAAAGACACGTTGTCGTTGCAGCGTCCGTTGCCAAGGGCAGTTGATAACCTGGTACTGCGAAGTCCCGGTCCGCGCGGGAAAAGCACACCCGGCAATCGTCTGCTGTTGCATGGCTGATGTCCCAGGGGGCGGACGTACCCCGGACCGAGCGCCAGCGGCACGTGCACATACATGTGTGCTGCTCGGCGCGTCACCCAAGACGTCACACGGCCGACCGGAAGCCTTCTGGTCATGACAGCATGATATTAGCCTAAGTCGCTAGTGCCACAGCCCGCCATCATCGGCACGACGCCCGGGCAGGCTCACACGCGCCTTCCGCTGCCACGCTTGACCGCGGCAAGGGCCTCTCACCTCCTCCCGCTTAGCGTTGTTGTTCTGCTTGTTGTTATCGCCGCCGTCCCAGCTGGCGTATTTCCTCTGCAACAGCGGCGGCCGGCTGTGAGTCGCGCCGGGCGCCCGGCGGTGTCGCCTGGCGCCGGATATTGTGCCTCTCCAGAGGCCGTCCGCTCGGCGGGGCGCCACTCCCCGCTGCCTCCCGGGCCGGGCATAGGCGGCGACACAGCGGAGAGGGGGGGAGGGGGAGATGGCGCTCTGGCGATGCAGCTACCCCAACACTTGAGGGCCGCGTGGAGACTGGAGAACGCTACCACGTCTGCTTGGAGCTGATGGGTCCCGAGCGAATATACGAATGTTTTTTGCCGTGGGAAATGTCTACCTTTTGCAGTTCGCCTAGTTTGTAGTGGTCAAAATGTTTATGGTCAAGGTATATATAAGCAATGTACCAAGAATATTGCTCTCCCTTCAAAAGAAATGTTGCACATTTGAAAATAATGAAGCACTCATCATATATGATGAAATAAACTACCTTATAGCTATCTGTATACTTTTAAGAGGTTAAGACAACGCAGCTTCTTTACTAAGTTAGAATGTTCTTCAATGCGTCAGTATGTGATTCGTCATCGTGCCTTGGACAACATTGTCTGAGAGCCAGCTGACGGCCATTACATTTGGAAACTGTGCATACGAACGCCAAATATGAAGGTCTCAACACCTTCCTTTTTTCTTGGCCTTCGTCACCCCGTGGCCAATGGAATGGCAAGATTATAATGACGTCATTACGGCGCCTGAATGCCTAGTGCCCCATCTGTACATGATTCAAAAGCTAAAACTTAGTTGTTTTTTGTTGTACACTATCTGATTTCTTCGCCTGAACTCTACTTACGGCGAAGACATGTTGCACTGGCTTATCAGTAGCGGGTAGCGCAAACGGAGAGGATGGGCCAATGCTTAGAGATGAGACGCTTTTTTGAACTTCTAATTAGATGCACTATTCCTGCACTATGGATTGTGCTACAACTGCAGTATGGCTAATGGAAAGGACATTGAGTTACTTTGAGTTGATGCATCCACGCATTTGTCGTGCATTGGTCCCATGTACTCCCATCTCCCCTCCCATCATATGGATATATTTGTTGGGTTTTAGCTCTCTGTATACATAATTTGCGACGCATTTTAACAGCAGTGGTAGTTCGTATGGTATATACGATAACGTACACAAACTAAATAGATATCGTACGACACATCAACTAGGAGTAATACATTGCAAGATATTTCATGTAAATGCATGACCCACATGAACTGGTGTTATATGTATCATATGTTGGATAACACACGTACCGAATTGTGTTCAATACATGCACCGTAACAGTTCTGCTTTCAATACATGGGTTAAGTTCGAAATCAATCATGCGATTAAAAAAACTACGGCAGAAAAAAATAAAGCAGGTCTTCACGGCCATTATCTGCTAGCTTGATTGACTCTCCTGCGACAAGGCAAGCTACTGTGTTTGGAAATAACTATGAGCAGCGTGAAATTCCGGCCCGTGAATGCGTGAGAGTAAAAAGTCGGTGATTTTATAACACGTATAACTGCCATCTCAAACTGGACGTGTCACGAAGTCGCAGAGAACAGGCGACGCTAATGTGAGAAGGCTTAACTATGGCTATCTGCGATGTATGGGACGGGCACCCTGTATACTTGACTATGGCTATCTGCGATGTATGGGACGGGCACCCTGCATACTTGACTATGGCTATCTGCGATTATGGGACGGCGCCCCGTATACTTGACTATGGCTATCTGCGATATATGGGACGGGCACCCTGTAAACGGGCCGAGGGGCAGCTGATAACAGAGCGTGGGAGCTTGCCTTGAACGAAGGGCGTGTGAACAGCGGCACGCCGTCCTCCACCTTCCCCGAAACGAGGCCGACCGATAGCGGACTCCACGACATGCAGCCCACACCTGCGGCAGGGAGCGCACGTGAGCGGGAGCATGGAGCTCACCCAGAGCTGGAGATTCCGCGCGACACGTCGCTGACAGGCACCACGCCGCTCTAGACATCACAGGTGTTCGGTAATTACCCAGGTGCTGCCAGGGCCTCGGGCCCGGCGAGCCTACTGAAAGGCGCTGTTGATCGGAGCCGTTGACCTATGTGCTGACGTGTATCCACGCGGCCTGGTCACTGTTGGTCGCTTTTACGAAGGCTACTTGCGTAAAATGACTTTTATGGTCTTGTAAGAGCGTTACTCGTTTCTCCTGATCAGAGCGCTTCACATTGGGTTGTTTGTTACACTGACAACAAAGTGCAATAAGTATGTGCAATAAGTGCAATAAGTATGTGCCCATCTCTTTGCTCATGGCTGGCCCAAAAAGACAAAGCATCATTCATACCCCAAACGTATGTGGGCTAAGCGGCAAGACCATACGGTCATGTTATATATATATATATATATATATATATATTGATTCATTCATAAATATATATATATATATATACATGTACATAAATGCATTTTCGCAAACACCGGATGTTGGGATGTACAATTTGATGCTGAACTTTTTGGCTCCTGGCACCATTTACGATCGTCTGTGGAGTCTCGAAACAAGCCCCTCAGATGTCAAGGCTTTTTGTTACAGATCGCGTCCTTGTGCCGTAAGCTCAAAAATACGAGCCGATTTCATTTCGAGCACGGAACTCATAAGCTGCGGGGATCTGATCTACGGGACGTCTAATGCCAGGACGGCGTATAGCCGCACCGGATTGTTTTCACCTCAGCTGGCTTCTGCAGACCTCCGGCTCGTATAAAGCAGTGGCCTGTCACGACGGCAAGCCATTCAAACCAGCTGCCTTAATCAATTATTATTTATGGTCACTTCGTCGATTCAGCGTCTGGCCTGTTCGGGAAGAAGCAGCGAGACCGTCAAGAGGACGCCATCGATCGGGTTGACCCGACTTCACCAAATTCGAACGGTGTGGGGGGAGCGCAGGCCGAATGGAGAACTCTCCACTGCTCAGAAGAAAAATGGTCGCTGCGCCGAGGGTAACAGAGATCAATTTCGGGTTGAAATTGCTCGAGTCCTTATCTACCCGCCTCTGCTGCATATACGCCAGCAGCTGGTGAACATTCCATGACAGACCACGCACGGAGCTCCGGCACTGCCGCCAGTCTGCAACGACTCACGAAGCCCGGCGCTCCAGTATCGACCGGGCAGTACATTCAGCGGGGGCATGCATTCCTTCCTCGCACCGATTATGGCACGTGGGCCCACGGTCCCGCGGCTCGCGCGAGGCGACGGCGACCGACCCACTCTAAGGGAACTGTTGGGCACGGCAGAATGCGTGACTGGCATTCGACGCTCAACACCGATGATGCAGCACCCGGATATTACGACCTGGGTGGGCCTCCGGTGAAGCTTACGGGCTCACACTGGCCGCCGCAGAACAACACCGGCGTGCTCAGTGTCACGCTCACTGACCCGGGCATGACAAGGACGGGCTGCTGCCTGGTGGGGAGGCGGCACAGCCGTGCTCAATTACGTTATGCGTCAGCCATTAATCACATTCTCGCAAAATTAGGTCCTCGATGTTACGTTTACGGGCAGCAAACATAAGTATGTAAATTTCAGTTTGTAGGTTTTTGGTAAGGATGGTAGCAGACAAAACGTATATAGAGGAGGCAACGTCAATGGTAGGCGTTTTTTACTTCGTGCGTGTTTTTCCTGTTTAAGGGAACGCCTAGTCCACTGAGCAGCTTCGGAAAGGCTTCACTAGCGCATCACTAACATGGCGTGAAAAACGTCACGGTGAAGCCAGCAGAACGCCGGGCTCGTCCCCAACTGTTCGTGGTCTTTGTGGTGGCCGGAGGCGACGACAGCCGACTCGGCAGCCATCGTCTGTCGTTGCTCAGGCAAGTAGGCGAGGCTACATCGACTCTGAGACAGAAACTGCGCCTGACACACACACGGTGGAGGTTATCTTGCGGAAGGACGGCATATGCAACAGTATGCACCCCTAAGACGGTGCTCAGCAGAACACAAGATGAAGAGGAAGACAGCCGCTCTTGCATGATCACACTAACCCAGACATTACGTGAAAAACAGGAACATGTCACGTGAAAAAGATACTCAAAAACCGACACGGATTTCTGCTGTGCTCGGACAAAGTGTGACATGGCCCACATAGCAGTTCTCAAATTATAAGCGCAGGCAGCAGAAAGATGACCTTTCGTTGCCGAGCTACTTCTGGTTGGTAACCCAGCTTGGAGAGAGCAAAAGCCCTGATTACCCGGGACCTAAGGCCTTCAAACTGGAGATACGCGTCCCCCAGTGCAGTTCCGAGGTGGTTACCAATCTTGTTGAACGTCTCCGGCATGTAGAGCTCGGTCTTCTCTCGGCAGAACATGTGGTATTCGGTCTGCTCGACGATGGGCAGCGTGCAGTTGAACTGGCGACAGTTGGTGTAGGCCTCGAATATCTCGGCCGGACTCCACTTGGCCGAGCCCCAGTACATGGCCCACCCCTGGCTGATGCAGTAGTGGCAGGCGCGCACCACCTCTGGGGGAGACAGACGTCAGACGGTCACTCCCCACTGCAGTCACCCCAGCGGAACATTCGGCAGATGCTGTCCAAAGTCTAGGACTCCCTTGGCTGACCACAGGCGACAGTCGATGGCTCACGATAGACAACAGACGATGGCTGACGACAGGCAATAGACGATGGCTGACGACAGGCAACAGACGATGACTGACGACAAACAATTAACGATGGCTGACGACAGACAATAGACGATGGCCGATGACAGAAAGTAGACGATGGCTGACGACAAACAATGGACAGTGACTGACGACAGACAACGAAAGATGGCTGACGGTAGACATGGCGATGATTCGTCACTACTGTTGCCTCTGTTGGAGATATTCAACAGACGATGCCCCCCATTCTTTTTTAGAAATGTGGCCTAAAGTTTGTCGGGGACGAATAGGAGACTGTCATGCTCATCAAGCGCAGTATGTTTCAAACGCCATGACACGACCAACCAAACAGGGCGATTTCAGTTCAGCCTCAGAACCGTTCTTTTCCTGCGATATTAACGTGGCACGCAACGTCGCGGCCCAGGCCCTTGGGTTTGCGGCGCTCTACTAAGTGAGCCCTCAGCCCCTACCAACAAAGAAAATTAGATGTTCTTCAAACAGGGATATACAGTTGAAAACAGACATTCCTAGCGGGTATTTCCTAACACTGGCACGTTGCTGCGTCACACAGTGCCCGAAACAGGCATATCAATCCGGCACGTCGTTGAATGCAAATAATCCCGCCGACGAATCAGCACACACTCACGAACATTTCGTGTTTGACAGTTGCGTCTTCAGGAGGAAGAACACGTGACCGCATGACACTTATTTGCAGTAGTCAGGGGAACAGCACAACACACCATGGAACTAGTATAAGCCGGGTATGTCTATTCACGTATGGATGGCGCCTGGCATGCAAACGGGCTAACAGGTGGACCCAAATGAACTCAGCGAACCGATGACAACATGATGCTGTCTGCAAACGACTTACCTTCCATCGGACATTTCGGGTCCATCTTTTGAATGATGAAGATGTCCACGTATTCCAGCTGTAGGCGTTCGAGGGAGGCTTTAAGTGATTCTATTATCCTCTTCCGAGAAAGTCCTCTGTCTTCTCCTCTGTGAAGTGCCATCAAACTGCTATAGCCTTGGCAGAGGAGAACCCGTCGCATCGCCGCCCATAAACAGGCACATTCACGCACAAAACTCATTCGGCAAACAGCTCCCGGAAGACCCGGGGGCTTTCAGCAGGAAGATGGCTTTCCAAGTGGAAAGTACAGGCCTGCTGATTCTCGTCGGAGGCTTGAAGTGTAACACACCGGGACTGTGGCGGCAGTGGGTAATGGCTTGCGTTGTCGGGTGCGGCGGCCGGGATCCGTGGGCTGCATTTGATTCGTCGGCGGCGTCAACCGCCGGGTCAACACTCGTCACTATCATGGACATCGGTTGAACAGCAGCGCAGTGAATGCGTTCACCGGTGGAAGGCGGGACAGCGTCCCAATTCGATTCGAATCACAGATGTTGTGAACGATGATTCGAACTCTCAGTAGAACTCAGTCTTATCACCGGCATTCTCTGCAGTGGACATCTGTCAGCTGCCTTGTCGCTATAACTGACTTGTTGACGGCAGCATGGTTTGCCACGGGCTGGTCACGGACAGAGATTTTCATGCAGTATATTTGGCCTGCATTGGAAGGGCTGAGGTCAGCCTCAGAAAACTTGCAATTTGCATCGGCCATTTACCGATCTGAGACTCAAAATGCCGCCTGGACGGACATCAACTCTCGTCTGACGCGATCATTGTTCAAAACACTGCTAAAGGTTCACTTCGAAAGTAAATTTGTGTGTTGAAAAGATTCAATTACGACGTGTTCAATATAATAATCACCTTCCATTTCATATCATATGATTCAGTGCTAAATATCCCGGATGACATTTCGTTGCGTATATGTTACGTGCAGAAATGTCTAGATAGCTAAATTGCTCATCAAGTGAAGGTTTTCCGGTCCGCTATAGGTACCCATTTTTAAGATTTAATCCGAATTCCTTGAATGGATGAATTTCTGGGATCAGAGCTCGCGCTAAACAGTGTTTGTTGTGTGAGCCCCCACCCCTGACACCCAATCGTGTAATTCTCAGAGCAACGGCAGAATTGGTGACGAAATTTCAACGTGCCGTCATGTTCGGCCAAAGCACGTCTTGCCCGTTGACGTCAGCTGGCCTTACGCGACCGCTGCTAACGGCCGCAGGCCATGGCTGTCAAGGACAAATAGTGAGCGCTTAAAACGACTCGAACCCGTTTCACAGCGGGTAACTGGATAGGAAGGCAGGAGCTCTAATCGCCCCAGCCACCGGGACGGACTCGTGCTATCTTGCCATGAGCTGTCTCAAAATCACATGCACAGTCAGATTTTTTTTCAAAATGACGCTTAAAGAAGTAAATGACAACCGGATTCGGCCTAAGACGAGGCCAGAACTTTTTTTAAAAATTTGATCCGAACCCTTTGAATGGATGGATTTATGGGATCAGCGCTCGCGCTGAGCAGTGCTTGTTGTGTGAGCCCTGACCCCCACCACCCGATCGCGCAATTCCAGGCAACGGCAGAATTTAGGGGCGAAAGCTTGACGTGCCGCAATGCTCGGCACGGTCCGTCTTGCGCTCTGACGTCAACTGACCTTTGGAGCGACCGCTGCCACCGGCCGCAGGCCATACCTGTCAAAGGCAAATAGCGGGCGCCCTAAAGCGACTCGAACCCACCCTGCCACGGATGGGTGGAGCGGAAGACAGGCGCTCTAACCAACTGAGTCACCGGGACAAACAGTGTACATAATGTATGATATGGTTTATGTACGCAAAAACGGAACGACGAACTTATATTTGCCTGTGAGTTCGTGAAGTGACTAAGGCACCTCAGTCATCCAATTCGGCTAGTGGTAGGAATGCTAAGGTAGGCAACTAATTCGACATTCTCTGAAGGCATTCCGTGTGGACACTTTGTACCAGTGTGCATACTTTAGCTACGTACCAGAGCAGAATTTGTTATATTCTTTAATTGCTTACTGGCTTAGATAAAAGTGAATGCATCATTGTTGCAATCTTCACTGTCACACCACCAACGTTGCGTTCTTACCGACGTATAAAATAGAGCGTGCGACTCTGACGGGTTATTTAAGCACAAAGAGTTCAGAAGGGCATGGAGATTATCATCGAAATGCATCGAAGAGCGCCGATTTCTCACATCTTCGTCAAGCAGAACCTCAGACTTTACAGGCCAGAGGCAGGGGAATTCAGGAAGTCGAAACTGCCAGGTTTGTCATAGCGGTCTTGTCATAACGTTTGGTATGATCTCTCGATAATGTTGGCGATACATCCGAGAAAAATGTCTGTGTTGAGTCATCCGTCCTGTCCTGCTGGGACTCGACTCGCCACAGTGCACATATCATCCAGGAACACGGGCGCGAAAAACTGAACAAGATGCACGAAATCAAAACATTTGTCGTGTGGTGTCATATCATGAGTATGTGCCCCCATCACAATTTCTGCTCGGCCATTGTTTTGGCCCAGTCAGATCTGTGGTCCGCGGCGCGAGCTATGCGAGTTACCGCCACGGCACGATGGCGCGAGCTGTGGCCACGGCACGATGGCGCACTGTTCGTCACACCTGCCGAGCAGCTGCACTTACATACCTCGTCAGTTCGTCCAGGCCGGGTCCCCAGTTTTCGGGTATTTACACCGGAAAAGCAGTGGGATTCACAGCACGGCGCGCTGTTAGCAGCACATGCTTAACAGGTCGGGAGGCGGCTCCAGAGTGAATACAGCAGTAGGTACCACTGCGGTAAACAAGGGCCGTCCAGGGCAACACTGCGCAGCCTCCGGTGCCCACTGAATGATAAGCGCCCTGCTGAAAATGATGTTCTCTGCTTCGCACAGGATGCTGCCATCTTGCGCACATTGCAACTAATTCTTGAATAAACCCACGGCTACTTCGAAAAGACCGTTCTCGCGCGTATGAGACTGAATGCTTGGTGGGCCGACTTGCCGGGTTTCACCACTGGACTTTCCCTGCTTGGGTACCTGAGAAGCAGGATGTTCACAAACGATTGTGAGAAGCAGGCTGTATTTTAAGAGCTAGGTGGCGAACACCATTGGAAATGTACAGCCGCACAGAGGCCCAAGTCCGCACCATGGGAGAGCTCCACCCGTTAGGGAAACGCAATGCCGTGAAAACCGTGATCGAGAAAATTGATTACTGATCACGTGACACCATTTGAGAGGCCATGTGACTCTGTCAAAAGCGTGCTTCGTGTTTCTGCAATTTTCGCTTGCATTTGTTGAATATAATGCCGGCGGTTGAAAATCGAAATTTGTCCGACCTTTCGTGACCCGACGGTATCGTGAACGGCGTCCATCACAAGTGGCGTGTTGTTCCTGATCTGCTTTCAATGCCAGAGTAGACGTACCACATTTCGCCCTTTTCGCCGATCTTAATTGTCCTCAGCCGATGTCGCTACACGCACCCGTGGTGCTGCGCTCACCGATTGGACCAGTAGACCTTGGTGATGACGATGTAGCTGGTGCGCTTCCAGTTCTGGTTCTTCAATATTTGCCCGAGCCGCAGCTCAGCCTGATCGCCCGAGTAGAACTCTGCCGTGTCGAACAGGTTGATGCCGTTCTCGTAAGCGCACGCGATGACCTGTTCGGCTGCTTCGTCCGACACCTGTGGGCTCAGGGTGACCCACGTGCCTGGGTCGCCCCGCGGGGCCGTCTCAGATCAGTTGCGTCACTCCATGGTGAGACGTTGATTTGACCGGCTCGAAGAGGTTCAACTAGGAGCAATCGTGCTGTCAGCGACTGCATCGGTAGCTGACTGGTTGGTGAATGATTGTCAGGTGTAGTTGACCGAGTCATTCCGCCGGGCGGATATCAGACATAAAAATAGCAGGTTACCCGAACTCAGCAGATTCTAGGCTTCACCATCGCCGTATCATTAGTCACTTAATCATGCTCCCCGAACTTCACCACAACGAGAGAACGTAGGGCATGATTATGGCTACACGCATGGATGGAAAGGCCACAAGTGACATGAAATGATGGGGGACTCAGAGTTCATGCCAACAGTCGCACCTGTCCTAAATATAATTCATGGTAACATTAGGTGTCTAGCTTCTCTATGTTTATGTCTTAGAAGTAAGCAGTGCTTTGACGCTGCAGAAAGACCAGTATTACAGTATTAAGGATAGAAAATCAACACCCAGACCTTGCACACCTAATTAGACAATACCCAAGTGACCGATTGCAGTCATCGCCCATCCTATCCGATGCCACAAATGCCGCGTTCACTGACCTAGCCCTATGCTGGGCACCCTGAGGCCACTCTTGCCGAGCGGCCGGTACCGGATGGCATGTGTCGAGCCGAGGCTGCTGCTCTGGCGGCTGAGCTGGGCCGACAGCCGGGGCACGGCCAGGCTGTCCTGCGCCGGCGGCGACGCGTCCATGTCGACGCTCTCACCGCGCGAGATCTGCAGGTCCTCCAGGCCGTCCAGGCTGGCAATCGGCGCGCTGCCGGCGGAGCGAGAGGGGTGCGTCACAGCGGGCGGCGTAGGGGGCGCAGGAAAGGGGCGGGCTGAGGAGGGATGCGCGGGCAGGGAGGACGGACTGAGGACAGAAGCGTGGGGAGGAAGCGCGAGCAGGAAGACGCGGCTAATGGTAGAGGACAGGGAAAGAGGGGCGGAGGCTTAGGAGGGAAGCTCAGGGAGGGAGGGGCGTGCTGCGAGGGGAGGCGCGTCGGACTGCGGAGGAAGAAGCAGAAGAGTTCGAGTCAGACTGAGGAGGGAGAAGCAGGGGAGGTCAGGTCAATCTGCAGAGGAACACGAGGGAGGAAGGAACGGGCTTGACAGGTAAGGGCGGGAGGTCGGAGTGGGATGAGGAGGAAGAGCACGGGAACAGTGCCAGAGCAGTTCACCGACGTCAGACTCGACTGGAAATACCAGACCATGTTATACGTCATGAAATACGTGTGGAGCGTCACACTGGACTGTCGGCAGCAGAAAGCATCAGCATAAAAAGAATACAGAAGTTATGAATGGGAATCGAAACCTGAGCTTACAAGTGTTGTCAAGAGCTTGACAGTTACGTTAAGACAGTTGCATGATGCCGTCTTCGTCCGTCTCCAGCAAGCCTGAACGCACGCACATCCTTCGACTCGCACATACCTGTAACCACACACACACACACATCCAAAACCTGCATCCGCATGCATTAAGCCACGCTTAAAAAGTTGATGTTATATTCGCATGCGAAGGCAGCGCGTAATGTAACGATGTAATGTGACGGTATAACATGTGCGAAACGTACTATCAATGAACTAATGTTCGTCTCCTGGTGCGTTCTATGGAGACGGCAAACATTTTTTGCTGCCAGTGCTCGTGCCAGGCATGCATGTTCAGCTGGTGAATACCCTGCATTGTTTCTGCGGCTGCCACCCTAACCCTTGACTGCACACCACCGCCGCATATTCCAACGCTCCACCCCAGTGCTACGGCGTGTGACCCCTCTCGTGGATCGATAACCCGGCCGGGTCCTGGTGCCGTGGCCGCCGTAACTGCGGCGAACGGTCGCGCAAGAGTCCATGGTCGGCCAACCGAGAACAAAGCCGGGATGAAATGCGGCAGAGCAACGGTGGCCGTCGTCAGGGTCGGGCGCTGCAGACTGCCCGTCAGGAGGGCAGGGTCGGGCTCGGGCACACGGACTGCACGCGGACAGGGTCGGGACTGCCCCTCTGACGGGAGGGTCAGGCGCTGCAGACTGCCCGTCAGGAGGGCGGGTCCGGGCTCGGGCACACGGACTGCACGCGGACAGGGTCGGGACTGCCCCTCTGACGGGAGGGTCGGGCGCTGCAGACTGCCCGTCAGGAGGGCGGGTCCGGACTCGGGCACACGGACTGCTCGCGGACAGGGTCGGGACTGCCCCTCTGACGGGGAGGGTCGGGCGCTGCAGACTGCCCGTCAGGAGGGCGGGTCCGGACTCGGGCACACGGACTGCTCGCGGACGGGGTCGGGACTGCCCCTCTGACGGGGAGGGTCGGGCGCTGCAGACTGCCCGTCAGGAGGGCGGGTCCGGACTCGGGCACACGGACTGCTCGCGGACAGGGTCGGGACTGCCCCTCTGACGGGAGGGTCGGGCACTGCAGACTGCCCGTCAGGAGGGCGGGTCCGGACTCGGGCACACGGACTGCTCGCGGACAGGGTCGGGACTGCCCCTCTGACGGGAGGGTCGGGCACTGCAGACTGCCCGTCAGGAGGGCGGGTCCGGACTCGGGCACACGGACTGCTCGCGGACAGGGTCGGGACTGCCCCTCTGACGGGGAGGGTCGGGCACCGCAGACTGCCCGTCAGGAGGGCGGGTCCGGACTCGGGCACACGGACTGCCCGCGGACAGGGTCGGGACTGCCCCTCTGACGGGGAGGGTCGGGCGCTGCAGACTGCCCGTCAGGAGCGCGGGTCCGGACTCGGGCACGCGGACTGCTCGCGGACAGGGTCGGGACTGCCCCTCTGACGGGGAGGGTCGGGCGCTGCAGACTGCCCGTCAGGAGCGCGGGTCCGGACTCGGGCACGCGGACTGCTCGCGGACAGGGTCGGGACTGCCCCTCTGACGGGGAGGGTCGGGCACTGCAGACTGCCCGTCAGGAGCGCGGGTCCGGACTCGGGCACACGGACTGCTCGCGGACAGGGTCGGGACTGCCCCTCTGACGGGGAGGGTCGGGCGCTGCAGACTGCCCGTCAGGAGCGCGGGTCCGGACTCGGGCACGCGGACTGCTCGCGGACAGGGTCGGGACTGCCCCTCTGACGGGAGGGTCGGGCGCTGCAGACTGCCCGTCAGGCAGGCAGGGTCGGCCTCGGGCAAAGGGACTGCCCGTCAGGCGGGCAGGCTCGGGCTCGGGCACACGGACTGCCCGCCTGACGAGCAGTAGCGGGGTGATGAAGCGGCCCGTTTGTGGCGGCTGCGTGGCACCGCCTCGTCGGCAAGACGCGCCTTGTGAAGGTAGACCGCCACTCCGGAGAGAGACCTCCGACCGGCGGAGTGTCGGTCGGGGTGCCGATCACTCGGTCAGGTGGAGAGTCACATGCATCGACTGACTACGCTACTTAGGTACGCACTACACTGCTAGCACGTTGTCGTGTTGATAAACATAGACGGTGAACACAGAACGACGGTGTCCGAAATGCGCGTGCTGTGCGGCAGAGAGGTGCGCTGTGCAGGCGCGTGTGTGCAGCTGCATGCACCCCCTCGGAGTAAGAGGCGTGCACCCCTGTCGGAACGAGGGACACCGCGTGCACTCATGTCGGAGCGAGGGACGCTGAGTGCACCCCTATCGCAACCTAACCGACACCCAGTGAACCGACCGCAGGCACCAGACGGGCCATCAAGTTCGGCCGCCCGCAGATCATCTCTGAACTTTACTAGAGCGCGTGAAAGTGGGACGCGTGTGAAGGCAAAGCGAAACATGTGCGGGTGGCCGGTGCCCAGCATCTTATTTCAAGACAACGGCAAGTGTCCCAATCGTCGACGCCATGCGTGCCGCCGTACTGCACGACCTGCAGGCCGACCCTGCATGTGAGGCCCATATCCGGTACCCGTGACCCTGGCTGCCCTGGCTGCACCCTGGCTCACCCTGGCTGTTCATATGCGATACCCGTGACCCTGGCTGCCCTGGCTGCACCCCGGCTGACCCTGGCCGTTCATATCCGATGCCCGTGACCCTGGCTGCCAGGCCAAGCTCTATTGGTCAGCTTGCCAAGACAGTGACCGAGGGGCCTAAGCATTCCAGCAAGCTGGCAAGTTTGTGAGCATGAAGCGTTCGGCCCTAACTTGCGAACGAAACGTGAGATGTGCGTCACACCACGGCAGCTGCTGGGACTTGACGACGTCCGTGGCGCCAAATACGCTGGGCGTTGCTTTACCGCGCGTATCATTTGGATAGGACTTGGCACACCCTCACTGCAGCCATTGACCAATAACCTATCATTGATTATCATTATCATGACCATTATTAGAATATGGGATCCTGCATTATATGTCATATCATGTGATTATCATCACCTATCATTTGTGTTAGGATCACCGTCTAGGAGCGGCACTACCTTCTCAATACGGTGTGAGCCCTGCAACGTTGTCTTTGTGTCTGGCACCGCTGTTTCTGGCCACTGGTGGTTACACCCCAGTAACGGACCTGTCTCTTACAGAATCTCCCCAGAGACATGCGGCGATAGTAAATACAGCGGGCTGTATCCGGCGGGGACGGTCAAAACATCTGCAGCCGTCGTCTGGACCGAGCCGCGGCGTGCCCTACCGCCTGGCCAGCTCGTGTTTACCGTCGGGCCGGGATGTGGTCCGGAAAATTGGCTCATCAGGGAGGCCGAGCTCGCCGGGGTGCTGCTGATGAGAACAGCTCACCGCCGACGGAAGACACCGTGGAGTTAAGTGTAGCTCTTGATGATAGCTTTCGTCACACGATGTGACTTATATCACCTGGCAATTTAACCCGAAATTCAAACTGCGCCAGGTCGGAAGGGGAGTTGACCTTGCACTGCTGATTTTTCAGCGCAGCTCAAAAACCAACGCTTGTAGCGACAGTAAATTTGCCGTACTTATTTCTAGGTCAATTTCTGAAAAATACTCATAACATTGTGAGCGTTATGTATGCCATTGCTCAAACTAGCTTTAATAATAGAACGTGACAGCACCTACAGCTTGTTCTTTTCGGCTTTTTGGAAACAGACGGGATCAAACAGGCGGGATCAAGCGGGCGGGATCAAACAGGCGGGATCAGTGTCATATTGTGGGGTTCAATCATGGCCATTTTTCGTAAATAATGAAAATTGGACGTATTTTGGTTTAATTTTTGTTGGTTGCATGTGAGGAAAAGAGGACTAACTCGCAAGCACAACCATCACAGTGACCACAGAGCACCTGACATTGGCCTAGGTCATAACCCTACCTCTATGGGCACCTTCTGCGGAACGCGTGCTGAGTTCAAAATGGGGAGTTTTTTTAGGTAATTTGGAAGCAGGAATTCGAATACTCACTGAAAACATGTTGCGATAGCATTGTGGTGCATAATAAAGTTACAATGTGTCACCCGAGGACATGCAATGCCATATAAGGTCATCCAAAGTCGATGACATCTGTTGGCAGTAGCGGAGGGGCTAGATGAAGGAGTGCGACGTGTGCACCCACCTCTATATCGTGTTTGTGAAGCTGATGATGTACACGTTCATGCACCAACGTACCTTTTTCGGTTTGCGACAAATACATTGTCAAACGTGGAGAGGTACTATGCAAAATGCTTGCAAGAGCTACGCGCTCTTAAGTACGTGTGGATGTACTATAAGCGATTTCCGACTACAGAGATGCATTGTCCTGGTCACGTAGACCCAGTTAGCACTTTTTTCCTTCTGAAGGCCTATGAACTTGACCTACGTCAACCTCAGCTGACCTCTAGCTCAGCCTAAAATGATATGTTTTAGTTGGACTACCCTGTCCTCACAGTTGCAGCCTCA